CACACACACACACACACACACACACACACACACACATCTTTCTGTCCCCATCACAAGTTCGTTAGATGTAGAGTCAAAAGTTATAGATACAAATTTGTTTGTTTCAAGCCTTGAGGTTTTCAGTTGTCCAAAATATTTTGCTTTGAACACTCGGAGTAAACTGCAATGTGAATTGAGACGGACAGAGAGAAGACAGTTGAGTCGTTTCACGCACACTAATTGCTGTTCATGGTCAAAATTATGTCAGTTCTAACAGTTAAACATCAAGTGCCGTTATTGTGTTCAACGGGATAATTTAATAATTATTGTTAAATTGCATACGCTTTCGGATATATCGCTCTAAATTAGGTGTCGATTTTTAAACAATTTTATTTTTCTAACTTATAGTTCATGAAAGATTTCCTACTCAACTTCTACTTCATGTGACCCTCACCTCCGCCCCCCCTTTTTTTTTTAAAGTAGCTGAAACAAGCACCGAGAAAAAATGCTCACCAGGTTTCCTTTGTTGTATTCCCTAATGGCGGTGAAAAGTGACTCTTCGTTGCCGTGTTTCCCTTTGTCCAGGTTGATCCAAGGGGACCAGAACATGTCACGATCTCCTTCAGCAACTGGGAAAAATTGTCAAATTTTGGGTCCTGCAGATGTTTTCTCTTATGATCTGACACCGCTGTCACACTTTTCTTGAGTGTCCATGGAGTGCATTCATCGGTGCCAAAACAAGTCTCGCTTTGTTAACTTTACCCTGGTATGCATACTATGTACCAACAGGTTCTCGCCGAGGTGATGATACCATTTACAGTGCAATACTTATAATGTAGCTTAGCCTACTAGTAATAGAAAAGCAATATCAGATCAGGGAAATCCTCGCTACTGGTTAAAGAAAACATCCTCTTGCATGGGGTGGTGTTCTAGCATGACGTTACGGGTCACATTCCTCGTTGGTAAATCTTCAGCGGAAAATATAACTTTTGGTACAGCAAAAAGATTGATTAAACCTGAAAGCCACGTAGTTACATAAATTGTAAAGAACCCCCCCCCCTCCCCCTCATAGCAAAGAATCTGAAAATCGTATACCTTGTTCGCAGATGAATTTCTGTTTCGTCTCGCATTTGATAAAGGTGAGAACTTCGTCAGTAGTGAAGTCAAGGGCCAGGCACAAAGAGGTCATGGGTGTTCCCAGGTTCAGGTCTTCCAGGGAAGCCTTTCCGCTGAAACGTCTGCGTGATAAAATAACCATTTGACACCGTGATAGCATTATACATTTGAGAGGACAAGCAACGCTGCTTCAAGTCTGTGTAACATCGTCTCTTTTCCTATCTATCTATCTATCTTATCTATTTATCTATCTATCTATCTATCTCTATCTCTCTATCTATCTATCTATCTATCTATCTATCTATCTATCTATCTATCTATCTATCTATCTATCTATCTATCTATCTATTTATATGTCTGTCTGTTTGTCTATATAACTGTACATTTCCCCTATCTGCTTCCCTTGACTCTTTTCTCTCTCTCTCTCTCTCTCTCTCTCTCTCTCTCTCTCTCTCTCTCTCTCTCTCTCTCTCTCTCTCTCTCTCTCTCTCTCTTTCTCTGCCGTGCATGTCAATGTTTGACGATAAAGAATTAAAAGAATCAACAAACTGAACTTGTCTTTTTTGTTTTCAGCTTCAATTAAGTCGTTCAACTCTTTCGTTAAAATAATCGATTTCTACAAGTCTACCTTTGAAAGGCACATACATCGCTACCTCAGAATTCTAAAATTCTGTCTGCTTAGTACCTAGTTTTGAGAAATTTGACGTAAAAAGTTACATTTTACAATATTTCAAGATTTTTCGAATGAAATTCTTTGCATGTCTTGATAGCGACTCAGAATAATCTTACGATTTTGATAGAGCAGACAGAGCATTTGATTTCTGGTCTCATGGTCTTGATAACTCAATACGGCCAAACATGTCAAATAGAAATTTGTAATTCTGTCGTGGCGACATACCTGAACGCCACAGCCAGATCTCTCTCTTCGACCTGGTACTTTTCCAAGGCGTTCAGAGTAAACGTCCAAAGAAGGAAGCTCTCCCTGTCGTCCTCCATACCGAGGGCGAGCACGTCCTCGAACTTGGGGCAGCCACCGATAAAGTATGTTCTACCTGCCAATGAGAGGTATCCGAAGGTGTAGTGAATGTTGGATTGTTTTGTGTAGTTTTTTCTTGCATGAGTGTTTTCTTTTTTACTTTGAACTGGACCTAAAGGAAGTGGATGCTAGGCTTGGGAAAAGATAGGGGTGGGGGTGGGAGGGGGGGGGTTTCAAGAGGAAGACTGTAGTGGCACTAATATTATTGTTGTAATAACAGAAAACCTAACAACACAAGCAAACAAAAGTGTTTGTGACAACAGCAAGAGTAATGGGACAGAAGGTGGAGCAGTAATAACAATCGCAAGAATAACGTGATGTTTGTTTTTGTTTCGGTACGTGTTTTACGGCGCTCGCTACAACATAAGGTCATATTTATGAGCGCCAGGGACACATTAAATATTTTTGGTTTTGTAGAAATTAATTTTGAATTTTGCCCAGGTGGCGACTAAAGCCTACCCTTATTGATTTTGGACCACCAATGGATCTCTAACATGCGCAACTTGCACACGGGACCTCCGAGTTTTTCACTTCATTCAAGAAGGTGAGGTATTAGATCTTAGGTACCCTAAGATCAGGGGTGTGGCTGAAAGACAGCAGTTAAAAGGAGCCAAGTAGTAGCATTAGAAAGGCTGCATAAAGAGTCATGAGCCCAGAGGATGGGTGGGTGGGAGGTGGGGAGGGGGAGGGGGAGAAAGTGGCGACGAAAGCAAACGACAGAACCTGATAAGAGAGCAGGAAAGGAAGTGAAAGCAGAAACTTTTAGGAAACAAAATTTTCCGTCGCTGTCAGATGTCAATAGCTTGAGCAGAAACAGCATGACCTTTCGGGGATGGGTTCGAGAGGGGGGGGGGGGGGTCAGTAAGAGTTTATCTTGCACAATACAAATGGGTTATATCAGTGCCAAAGATTACAGGATTTATTAGATAGTAAAATACAAAAAAGAAGGAGGGGAGATAAGGACGACATAATTTTAATATTCCTTGTTTAACTGGAAAAGGTTTCAATTTAAAGAATATGAGGAATAAGCACTTGGGATAGTATTCCAATTAAGCTCAGCCAGTCAGAAAACGAAAACGTGTACAGTGTAAAAGTCTTTAGTTTCGAAATTACATCATCTAAGGAAATAAATGCTTTATGTATAAGATTCAATAATATTTTAGGGCACAATGCTTCGAATATCAATATTCACCACATTCACCACCCTTCCTACGAAATGCGCCCTCCTCCTCCTTCTAACCCATTCTCTTTTACCTTGAAAAAAAAAGTTGAAATTTATGTTTAAGAAAACAAAAATCCCGATTAACCCCCAATCAGCAATTACTCACCTTCATTGCGTTTCACTCCCTTCAGCTTTTGTATCATTCCGAAGGGCTGCTCCAGGGACAAGAGTTTTCCGCCCATCTTTTCGCAAGCCTTGTAAGCGCGAACATAGTTCCTGAGAGGGATTTGTAACGTACATGTAACGAAATGGTATTTGAAAAAGACACCACAAAAAAACGATTAGTAGCTTTACTGTGAAAATGAGGCTGATATAATATTATTAAAGTGAAAGAACACGATAAAGCAATCAGAACAAAAAGTTCGGTCTGAAAACCTTTTGAACGGCGCGAAAAAGAAGACAATGTGGACCACATAAATACAATTTTTTTTCTTCTTCAGCCTATTTGAGAGTGGTGGTTGTACTCACTCGCTATAAGAATCGAGCATATTAACTTGTTGAAATGGATGACCCACCGTTTATCTTTCAGGAGAATATCCATTTATATTGCAGTAAAAAATTCGTAGCGCATCTTATGTTCAAATATCTCTTTAACGGATGATTCATTGTCACCCATACTTTGCACAGCAGTTTGTATCAATTCGTCTTAACTTAATAACATTTTTCCACAACAATTTAGGCTGGATCTTTAAAAAATGTTATTCATAAAATGTATGTAGAATACTGTAAATCTCTGCCGCGCGGAAAATGGGAATGTTCACAGCACTTCCCGCATCTCACACATATTTTGCATACAAATATGACCTACGTCACAGCTCAAGGACGTCCTTTTTATTGGCAAAACTTTTCAAATGGAATTAATTTTATAGTGAACACTTTTTTTGCCATAAAGATTCTCAAAACAAACATGCCTTTAATAACCATAAAGTCGCGATTACAAAACAATGACGAACTGTTAAATTTTTAAAATCTGTAGACACCATCGACTGGGATGTTTTCTTAGTATTTATGAGGGAAATTTATAAAAAATACAGTGTATAGGTGTTTGAAAAAATATGTGGATAAAAGTTAGAGAAGCTATGCTCTATAGTCAAGGAGATATTTGACAAAAAGTTACGCCACGAATGTTTGACCGCACTATAGTTAAACTTCCCGAAAGGAGCGAACAAATGTTATTGACTGCATTGTTGCTATAACTAAGAGGTAAAAGTTTTTAATTTTATTTCAATAAACGGTTAATATTATAGTAGAGGGTTTTACGGCGCTCACAACTGCATCAGGTCATATGAGCGCCAAGGGGTGGGTGTCAACAGAGAAGTCTTTACAGGGAATCAGACTTACTCTGCTCACCTCTCTAGCTTCAACAGTACAATGTCTGCTTCAACTATCAAGGCACCCCGGAAAAAGCAGGTCACAAGAGAGTGACAAACATATAAAAGAAGTAGGGGAAAATGACAATAGTACGGATTAGGAAAGAAAAAGCAGCAGTTCCCTGTTGTAGATCAGGCACATTTATGAGCGTGATATGAATCAGCCCATTTACAATTCTACTGTGCTTGAACGAGAGATGTCCCCTCTTTGGGAATGGCCTAAAGACACTACAGTCAGTGGCACTCCCCCGGGGGGTTAATAAACGGTTTACGGTATTTACAACACAACTAGATCTAGGTCATAAAAGTAGAGGTTAGATAAGAGGTGTTACTATATAGTATCGTACAGACAAAATACGCAGAGAGAATGGCGATAGATATTTGATAGGAAAGAAGGAGCAAACCACTCTAGAATGTCCGCCAACCACCCGCGGTGGAAGTTTAAAAACAGAAACTCTCTAAATCCTAGAACATTACCGTTCATTGCGTCCGGTCCCGTGCAGACACATACCCGCCACATCCTTAAACGGGGGACGACAGGGCGCGGCTGAGAACAAAATACAGGTTTTTATTTACAAGTGATGAACAAAAACAATCTTATTATTATAGAGAACAATTAATCAGTCATTAATGGCTCATATAAGCAGACACTCTTAAATACAGAGAGACAGACAGACAGACAGACAGACAGACAGACAGACAGGCAGACAGACAGACACACACACACACACACACACACACACACACACACGCGCGCGCGCGCGCGCATACACACGTTTGCGTAAAAGTACAGATGTGGGGCAGAGTGAAAGTTCAAATGACAGGTAGCACAATATTGATATTGAAAATGCAAAAAAGCCGGTGCCTAAAGATAATAACAACAAGCAAAATAAGATACGATTAAATACGTTGTGAGTGGCAGAAAAAAAGTTCGCCTCACCC